ATCAATCATCAAATCCAGCATGCCCATATATAACATGACAAAAGGCAAAATAATGAACAAGAAAGCAAATGTAAGTCGTGTACCATATAATGCAAAAAAAAAAAAAAAAACAAAAAACTCCAAAGCCATGGACGCCCAATAAGATTGGATGTATACGATTATCAAAACCACATGATTCCCACCACCAAGCCGATTACGATAGCCATGCAGCTACCACGGACTTGCTTGGGGTTTCGACCGCTCCCTGCATCCTGCGAGTCGCCGGAGAGGACTGCAGCTGCATTTGCGGACGGTATTGTTTTGGGTGCGACGGTAGGTTCGGACACGTTGTGTTGCAGTGGTAGCTTTAGTTGGTGAGTATCCGAAGGAGGTGAAACGGGCGGCTGTATTGAAGAATTAGGTAGATATGTTGAGTCTATAGCGTCATAGGAAGTAGAAAATGTCTTCACTGTATCGTGGACGGTGAGACAGGCCTGCTGCCATGCACCACTGAAACGATCGCAAAACTGTAGTTTAGGATTTGTATCGGTTTTGTTGATCATCAAGGTCGTATAATTATTGTCATATACCATCTGCTCAAAAGAGTCGTCACGCAATGAAGGTAACGGTAAGGAAGGAACGTCGGAAAGGTTCGATGGAGGATGCGACGACGCTGTCTCGACCGGAGGTACGCTCCGAGTAGAAAAAGACGGTAGCAACTGACGGCCATCCAACTGCTGGATGAAGGCTGTGAAAGCACGAATGCTTCGAGTAAGGGTCGAAGAATGTTTCCACGGATACACCGTGGGAGCATCGTTTGGCAAAACAGATGCAGTCTCAAACGAGCTCGGAACCGCAGCAGGACGCGAACGAGGCAGGGAATCACCACACAACCACGGCCAACACTGACCGCTTGTTGCCCGGACCCTCAAACGAGTATCAACAGAACCATCCTTGACGAATCGCGAAAAATCTGCACCAATTGCTACTGCCATCAGCAACTGCCATATCATAGACGCAACGTAAAGCAATACTCACGTCGGACCTCACTCCCAGTATACCACCCATTCTTCCAATTAGACCCCCAATCCCATGATAACGACGGCACCAAGCTAAGCAGCGAAAAGACAACAAGCGCCAAAAACGGAATTGCACCTGGCTTTTCCAGCCCCGACCGCATCATCCACGCGCCGGGCTATGACCCGGACTAGACTGCGTTCAATCAACAAAAACACGCACTCAACTGGTATAGGATCTGAATTCGGATTCGGGCTCAAGATCGGCTTCGGACAACTCGGGAAGGCGCAAGACGGACAATGACAACCTCATTGCCAGGATGTCGAGGGAAGTAAAAGATTATTATTATGAGTGACGGTAAACGAAGATATAGCGCTATGTCTACCGAACCGTAACGAGGTCAACGAGAGCTGCAAGCTGCAATCTGCAAGTAAGAATCCAGTCGCAGGGCAGGCGCAAAATGGGCGAATTTCACAGGGCGCCCAGCTCGTCTAAAAGTGGGTGTAGTTTTTTTTTTTTTTTCTGTCCCAGCAACCCGTTGACGATCAGCGCGAAACCGGATGAGCAGCCGCTGGTGGAGAGGAGAGGAACAACGAGGGAAAAGAGATCCAGATCCAGGTTGTGTAGTGTGTTATGTATGTATATATAAAATTGGGATGATCCCCGGGAAAGCGATTTTCTTGCGACGAACGTCGATGACGACGTCGAATGTCAGTTTTTGCCGGCGCAGAAAAAAATAGAGGGCAAATGACGTAAGGACCTCTGTCACCCCGCGACGGCCAAGAGAGTCTGCTATCGCGTTATATGCTGCATATAAAAAGGAGGGGGTCATGGAGGGGCAATGAGGCATACAGAATAATATTGGATGTCTATGAAAGGACGATAATAATAAACAAGACGCTGCACGTCGAATGTTGACTCGTGCGACGATCGCACGTTGCTTACCATACGGGTACTGTAAGTTACCGACAATAGATATCAAGATATGTATTTGTATAGCATCAGGCAGCAGATTATATAGAAAACAATGCAAAGATCATTAATCATTCATAGTATGACAAACACCTCATCTGCCCATGTTCCTGTACACTTCATGGTTCCTATACAGAGTAACCCCATAGTGCAACTCTTATCATATACGATTCGTCATCGTCGCTGGTGTCTCGGACTTGGGCGACACCATTGTCGTAGTTGTCGTAGCTGTGGTTGTCGTAGCCGTACCCCTCCTCGTTTGCGAAGTTTCACTCCCCTCGCTCCTGGATTTGTCCCCACGCGGGGTTCCGGTGCGGGTTGTGCTGCCTCCGCTGCTTGTTTTGCCGCCGCGCTTGACCATTCGTCCTAGCACTCTGACTATCTCGGCGGCATCTTCGAAGCTCTCATCATCCATGCCTTCTCGGGCATTGTATACATCGGCAATGGCCTGCTTCGCTAGTCGTCGACAGGCGGTGGGGTCATGCAGACAGTCGTATATGTAGGCGGCGTATTCGAGCTTGACGGACAGTCGCAGGGGATGGGATCCCGGTAGCATTCGTTCCGCTAACGTGGCGGCATGATTGAAACAGGCCGTAGCCGTTGTAGTAAAATCCTGCAATGGAAGAAGAAACGATGCTGCCGGTTTGGGTGGTTGAACGGGTGCAAGACCCGGAGGATGTTGTGCGACTCTCCCTGCCGATAGATGTTCCCAGCGGGATGCCAGCTCTACCGGTACGGGCAGTATTTCTGGTTTCGATTTGAAAGAGAGTCTTGTCCCTGGCTCCTGAGACAATATCCCGAGTCCTGTGCCATTTATCGTAGCACCATTGGCCGGGAGACCGATGATACCGGGGGAGTGAACAGCCGGCTGGTTGTGGAACAGAACAAATATATGATAAAACGAAGCTCGAAGTTTATGCGCCAGGACCTTCAATTCCACGTACGCTTCGACCATTGGAAGAACAAACTCTTCCAGAATCAAAAGACCTTCGCGCGAAAGCCATATGATGTGGTGGTACATATGAAGGGATCTCGTTTCCCGAGTCGGATCTAAACGTCGCAGCCGCCGTGCACGAAGAAGCTTCTTAGAAAGCATCACCGACAAACCCAAGACCTTGTACAGCATCGCGGACAGAAACGGATCTTCCAGCCCTGTGGAAGCCGCAAAGGCACCAAGGGCCTTCTGGTCAACTTCATGCGACGCCATCCACACGTCCAACGATTCACAGTCGTCGGAGCCCAAGGAAAGGCTATCCTCGTCAATGTTAGCCATGGTTGCGGTTACACTGGTCAATGGGAACGAATTGGGTGTCAATCTCGGACAATAAAAAAGAAAACAGTGTAACAGGAACACCCGCTATAAGAAGACAGAACTCAAGGATGCTTTGTTTGCACCGGATAGATCGACAGTGATAAATAAAGGAAAAGTGAAATGGAAGCATAATATGATCATCTTACCTTACTTTCGCGCGCGCAAACGCTCAATACAGAATGTAGTTCCCCAGATGCGCTTAAACGCTGTGGCTTTCCATGCTCATGCCAAGCGCCAGCTTCGGGAACTTTCTCAGCCAGTCGATACCCAAAGTCAGCGCCAAAATAGACTCTGACTTTGGCCCAAAGGAACGGCTCGTTCCCGTCGCGCCCTTTTTCTTCTGTGTCTGGTCTTGTTGCGTTTGTATTCCTTTTTCGCTTGTCGCGCGGGAAGGGTTGAGATAAGCAGATTATGCGCCGAGTACCAATTCAGACCGCTCGGAAGTCGCGCAAGTAAAAATTGATAAGTCACAGGTCCGACGATTACAATCCTCGGAGGCGAACTTGTTGTACAAAGTGGACCAAGACAAAGAGGCTTGCAGAGGGGGGAGAAGATAAAAGAAATATGAGATGCTGATTTCACCCCGCAGAAATAGACGAGGAATCCCCGTTTATTGTGCACCGGTGATCTGGAGCAATCGCGCGTTTTTGTAGGGCTCCTGACTCAATTATGGATTGATGTATCGTCGCGAATGACTGAGAAGAAAAAAAGAAGTTTCCCTCACTCGCACACAGCAAAAGGCGTGAGCAACAGCACTAGCAATGCAAGGTACGGAAAAAGATGCAATTGGCGATTGTAAAAAGAAGCTCGTGGCCAGAAAGCAGACAGTCTCGAGACATTGTGTGTTTGCAATAGTCGTCTGCTGTTTCTGTCTTTTTTTTTTTTTTTTTTTTTTTTTTTTTCTTGTCTGGAATTGCCAACACACCGCTGACAATTGTGAGTATGAGCAACGGACAGAAGCTGCCCTGTGTTCGTCTCAATAACCGGAGTCAGCCCAATTGCAGGCGGGGGGGGAGTGCTCCGTGCCAAACGGGTACTAAATAATAATGACCCCCAATTGATAGCAAAAGAAACGAGAGGGCCTTCGGTAATAACGAGCGGCGCCACTAAGGCATTAATCACTGACGTTCCGAACCACCGGCCATTGAAATGGGCAGCGAGAAATGATGCAAGGAATAATCAAGCCATCTGCACGGCTTCTTTCCTGATACGATACTCGTGGCCGAAGCCTCGGTGGATATTAAGCAGTCAATAGAACATCCTGCACTCCATGCATACACGGTGCTAATTAAAGCAGCTCTGTACTCCATAATCCAGGTGAATTGACTTTTCCCATCCGCTCGTTATCCGAGACACCGTCAATGGGAATATTGTACTATCTCGGTTCCAATCCAGACTGAGATGAGGCGGGGGCTCTTTATTCCGCTAATCAATGCAGCGAATGCTTCCAGGGAGGGGGGCGGCACAGCTTCGATACGTGTCAAAACCCAAGCAGTTCGACTCCTGCTCCTTCCCTGCAGCTTTACATCCGGCCGGAACAATGCGGTATCTGTAGATGCACCAATGTGGAGCGCCCAGCCACTCGGTCGCGGGATGTACTCCGGATACAACTCATATAGGCTCCGTACCCCCCGTACTCCGTGGTCATGATGCAGTCAGCGTATCTACCGCGCTTCATCATGCCATTGAGCCTGATTCAGACCGTTTCTCTCTGCTTCTTTCTGTGTATGGAGTTATCCTCGACTAAGCGGGCGGGCGGGTGGACGTTCGACGGGACCCGCGCGGTTCGTAGCGCGCATCCTGACTCGAGCGCACTGACAGTTGGCAGAGGTTTTGCCAGCGTGGCGGGATACATTGTGGGAGAACGTAATCGTGATCACTGACTGTAACTACTCCGTAGAACAAAGCAAAGAAGTATTTCTTGCTATTCCAAATAGAAAAATGGCCCGTTTCTAGAAATTGACATGCCGACGATGATGCAAGACGAGGAAAAGTTCGGCAGTATCTCACCGCCGTGTTGACCTCCTACGCCGCATCCGAATCAGGTAACTCTCGGCCTTGACTCGCGATGCTGTGAAGTTATGATGCGAAATCCATATGCAAATTAAAAAAGAACTCCATATACAACAAAAGATAATGTCTGAAATTCTAGCAAACGTAAATCATGATTCTGTCTCTTCAAGATCATTGATGTCCAGGTACCCGACGAACGCCCGATCAAAAAAGGTCTTCCATGTCCTGTTCTTATTCTTCTTCTTTTTCCCCTTCTTCTTTTTCCCCTTCTTCTTTTTCTTCTTCTTCTGGCTATCATAACCGTCGTCGTTCGTGTCATCAGGTGATTCCAGGGTATTCGGAATGTTGTTCGCAATCCGACTGGCTAGATCGAAGTAGCTGCGGACTGTAAGATCCTTCATTTTGTAGATATGGTCGTTACGAGTATCGTACTCGACCTCAAAGCCAAATACATCATCAACGCTGGTAGCATTGACGTTATTCCCGGTTCCGTCTTGGTGCGTCGATTCGTGCAAAGCCACTTCCTCGTTGATCCTCGTTAGGTTGGCGTAGTACTGCGTATATCCGAGCCAGGACAACTGCTGGTTCGAGTAGCCAGGGCCCGGAAGAGCAGAAGACGGTGGGGGTTCTGGTACTTTGAATTTTGGCTTCTTCTTGTTTTTCTTGTCATTGTTCATCATCGGAGAGTCTTCGGATTCCAAAACGGACGGTGTGTCATCGTCGTTGGGATATGAGATCTGTGTGTTTTCTTGAATATCAGACCAAGTTGGCATATCTTCCAAGCCAGTAATGTTGTACTCAATCACCCGGAGCGTAGGAAAGTATTCTGGCACCAAACTGGGCGACACCAAAGAGACACTATATCTTTCGGCCAGAGGGCCACCGATCTTTCTCAGGAACTTCTTCTTCTTTCTCTTCTTGGATATGTCCGTCCAAGGCGCATTGCCATCAGTCTCCGCAAAGTCTTCATCCAAGCATTCCTCAATTGAAAGACCAGATGGCGGGGATGGCATATCGGACCATTGGCCCCGAAGGGCCTCGAGATAGTCTTCCATGGATTGGACAGAGAAATCATTAGATCCCGTGTTGTCACCTTCCAAATCGACGATGTCGATATCGTGGCTGTCCTGGAACATAAAGTGGTCGATATTCATATGTCCATAGACGCTCCCAACGATGACATCTCGATATTGATGCAACCACAGGGTGTATTTCTGCCAGCACGTTTCATCCCATCCTTGTTTCGGGCCTGCCCGGGCCGGAGGTACATGTCCAATCAGGATGGCCTTCATATTGCGCTGGCGAAGCAGTTTCAGTTGAACTCTGAGCCACTCCATATGCTCGTATCCCGGCTCATCCTTGTCGTCGCATCCATCCACGGCGGAGTTGGAGCTGTAGAAGTACATGGTGTTGAGACTGATGGCTGATAATTTGCCAGGAATCACTTCGCTCGTGAACCAGCCACCCTCCACAAAACTATGGCGCTCAGCCTCCGGGATAAATTTGCCCCAAACATCCACAAAAGTCTTCGTCCAGCGGTTCGGTCCCTCTTTCATGGTGTTATGCGGCATGATATCGTTGTTGCCAAATGTCGGAACGACGGGGATGGAGTCCTGGAAAACATCGATGAATTGCTGGGACAAGATTTCATTCAGGTGGATGATTTCTTCCATTTTCCGCGGCATCTTTTCATCCCTGTCGTGGCGGGCGGAGTCGCCGGTCCAGAGCACGAAGTCGATATTCCCCTTTAAATTTCGCTCGATCCATCGGAAAGTCGCATTCATCAGGGTGATCGGGGCATCGCAATCGGTTCCGTCCGCTCCAAAGTATCCAGCAGATCCATGGCCTCGATGGCAATTATTGTCGGCCGACGCTCCTTGTTTATAGTGCGAATCAGGATGAGGATCTGGCGCGGGAAAAGGAAAGATGTCAGAAAACCATTACCAGTTCACGCGCGAAACAATTCATTCGCAACATACCAGTGATATGCAGGAATCGCCCAGTCAGCCTCTGCGCCCCTCCAGCGCTATGCGCCGTGGAGGAAGAGACCCCATTACCCAATGGCTGCTGCTGCTGCTGCTGCTGCTCGTGGCCTGCAAGGGGAATGGCAAAGGCATTGGCGAAAAAGAAACCTGAGAACAGCAGAGTTGGAATCATGGGTGCTGTTGGCCGGTCGTACAGACAATCATCAATCCCGCGAACATACGGGAGATGCGTCTATCTCGTTAGCATACAAATAAAAACAACAATAATATCCCTGTAGTTGACAAACATCGCAAAGAAAACCCTGTAACTTACCGACCCTGGTCAGCGACGTCACTGGCACGTTGTGTGGACTCCGATTTGATCAAATTTCGCCCAATCAGGGGCAGCTCCAGGGTAAAACCAACGAACTAGAAAATGTAGTTTATCGCGACTGTACGTTGAATCTCAAGGAAAACTTGAAGCCTTTTATTCTCCTCTTCTCTTGTATGCTCGTGACCAAAGTCCCATCTTGGCCGCAGCAACCCCAGATCGACGCGATTCACAAGAGGCGTTGTTGCGGACAGTGAGAGCGCGTTGTGCGCGCACGTGGGCGGCAGGATAGGGTCTGGTTAGCTGGACCGTTAAGGACCTTGTGCTGGTCTGTGGCATACAATACATATTGCGCATGTCTGTTCGAGGAGTCTAGTAATCACGAGGTAAGGAGAATTATATTAGGGATGGAGAGAGTTGTGGTCAAGTTTAAGATAACATAGCCTCGTACGGAGTAGCATACCAGGGTGTCTGGATAACATTTATTGTACGGAGTACTGATCTGATAATCATCTGTCACGGGATGCGGGGTCAGCGTTTCAGCATAACGAGTAAACAACTGTATATTTATTGAAGAATGAATACTCTCATTTGACAAGTCGTTCATCCGAAATAACCACAATGTCTGAATTCCCCTCAATCAAGCCTGCCTTTACGGTCCAGGTAGGTCCTCCAACGTATAGATTCAAAAGATAGCCCCTAATCATGCTATGCAAGTCACTATTGATGCACCGTTACCGGCTGGTACGTGGTCGAATAAACAGCCACTAGAAGTACTATAGACGAATCCACTGAGGCATATACCTGCAGGCAGTGCATCGCGAACCAACAACTTGATGGTTGTGGTCAGCCTTCCTTCTCCTGCGGCATATTTACGCATCATAACAATAATCGTCTAATCTGGATGCTAACAGCCCATGTCGGGTGGCATATTGAAGAGTGACCTGACATTTGAGCCCGCTATTGATGCAGAATTCGTTGGCGTTGGCAATGATTATATCCACGCCGATCCGGATGGCCAGCATCCGCGTTTGAATGCCCATGGTGTTGTCAAGTAAGTGCTCGTTGCAGACAGTTATTAAACCGGGCGCTAACTGGCTGTCTAGAACCAATGATGGAGCCGTAAGTACCGAATTGTTGCCCGGATAAGAGACAGAACTTAGCAAAGCGACTCCCCAGCTCCTCTATGTCAACTATACCGGTGTGGTTGCCATGGGACCACTAGAGTAGGCCGTGTTCGGCGGTACTGCTTCTGATGGCGCAACGCCTTTTGGGAACTCTTGTAGGTCTGATATGCACGAATAGCGATACAGGATGCTAATCTCAGTGGCAGTCACCCATTTCACTTTCGAGGTAAATCCAACTCGATGGAGGCAAGTTGGTCTATTGCAGACTGTATAATACTATATACCGGCAACGCACGCTACAAGGAAATTGAAAACCGCGTCTTCGTTGGTCAGGGACGGTTCAGGACCGAAAAGGACAAGCCGATTGTTGTCGAGTACAAGGTTGGCCAGGTGGTCAGCAGCTGATTGCCTTTATCCTTATATACCTGTCGATTATATCAATATAAGCCATTTCTTTATAAGTACATATTGTGTTTAAATGTGTAGCATGTCATCCCAACAACGGCCTCCCCTCCTCATATTCCCGATCCTCATTTAATCCCTCATCACCACTACCACTAAGCCTCCGACCACGACGACTCATCATCCCCAAAACCCCCAGGAACTTCCCCCTCAATCCTCCGCTGCCTCTACTACCTTCTGACCTTCCTTCCCTCTCCCGCCACCATCCGACAACCTTCTTCCCGCCCCAAACAGCCCCATAAGCCAACCCGATGCCCACAAGCGTCGACAAAACAGCCACAACCGCGGTCAAGAACGTAATGCTACTGACATTACATCCGAGCCCCGTGGTCCTTATCTCCCAGCGCTCTTTGTATCCGAGCGGACAGATATTTTCGGAGCTTATAGGGGAGAGGATTGGGAAGTGGCTTGGGTTGGGGGCGCAAGTTTGCGACTGGCTTTTGTTAGTTTATATATTCTGGTGAACAGTGCACATAAAATGGAAAGAAGACAAGCGTACTATAGGACACCAGCTACATTGTTGATCACCCTTTAGACAATGTTGGCATGATTGTCTTCTCCAGCAGAGGTGGAAGAGCGGATCACGAATAGATATAGAATCGGTGTGGTTTGAATGCGAATCAGAGTCGAGACTGAAACTAGGGGGACGGGACATCGCATGAAATGTTGCTGGACGATATTGATAGAAGTCAATTCAATGTATTGTATTTCTTTCCGGTAGATTGTTCTTATGGTTGCGTTGTCGGTATGCGACGGTAGTTGCGAGTCCGAGGGATATCCTACGGAGATGAGATGATAATGCGGGGACGTACGAAGTAACACACTACCATTACCCATGTGATTCTAAATAGATCGTGAAAACGTGGATAATGCGATTGCTTTTGCGAATAAGAAATATTGCCATGGCGACATCCTCATCTAATACCTTGGGGTCTGTGTACATAAAGTCATATATTAAACATCTTCCCGAGCAACAGAAAATCGTATAGTACCATGCCAGCACGTAGCATATCATTCCGATGCAGGCAGTGCTCGAAAGTATTTCTCTTCGAAAATAGTAGACTTATAATCGCTCTACTCCGGTAATACACCAATTCTCGCTCCGAACATCGAACGTAGAAATTAAACAACCCGCTTGACCTGCAAAAGAAAACAGAGTGATCAGTACAAGTCCAGAAAATGATGGCGTATCCTTGACTAACCTCGAAGAATCTCTTCAACCACCACACCTGGAAGACACCCTCTCCGATAAGCACGGCAAGCTGGAAGATACTCCACCACTTCACTCGCGCGTTGGTGCTCTCCGCTGTGTTCCGGTGTACCCGCTCTCTAACCACAATGTACGATTGTTCATCCTTAACCTGAGCCAAAGCCTCCGAGAGTCGACGGACTATTGGAAGAACAAGAAATGTTAGTGCCGATTCCCACAGATTGCGGAGCGAAGGGGGGATTCTCCGCCATACCTTCAGTGTCCAAAGGATCCTGCGCTTCCGATTCGGGGACGTAGACAATTCCGTGTACATTGAAAGAGACCTCCTTGGAGTTGGATGTCCAACCCTCGTTGCTGAAGCAGTAGAGGTATTTGCCGTCGACGTGGGAAGTGAAACTGTAGTCGTCGGAGGAAACGGCCTGCTTGAAGTATTGACGGTTCCTTAACGGGTCCTCGACCTGAAATAAAGAGAAAACATCCTCGTCAGTATCTACCTCAACCCAAGTCTTGACAACGTCCAAAACAAACAACGGTGCGGGCATCGGAAAGGGGAACCGGTTATACCCAGAAATCAATCTCAAGGTTCCCACTGCCTCCAAACTCCCTGTCACCGACCTGGAAGGTGACAGTCATCCGGTCATCCTTATGCAATGGTTCGTGGAAGCATTCCCTCGAGTGTGCCCGGAGTTGAATGTTGTGTGCTGTCACGGCGGTGATCCAGGTCAGCGCGGTGATGAGCAAGGTCGCTGGGGAGAGCCGCATGGCGGATGGATATTTTCTTGCGTTGCGATTTCAATCGACTCCGGAGGTTATAGGTGCGTAGGATTCGTCGAAGCGAGGAAATGGGGTGAGTCGTAGTGCTGAGTGCGGACTGGCAGTTGAATCTCCGATCCGACGCGCAAGGTGTTCACTGAATTCACTGGGCGAAATTTAGACGCTCGGACCAACTCTAAACAACGGCATCTACGAGTAACTACGGGTACTTCACTACTATGGCCATTAATACTCATTACTTTTGAAATGGCTTTGTTACTCGAAAAATATTTTGAGAATTATATGATCTGAAATATAGGCAATCGCCAGATCTAATGCAATTGATCGATGTAGAATTATGCAGCGAACAATGGTGTCTTGAAAATGAGATAAATTTATATCAGTGCAGGTTAACTCATCATTGAATGCTGTATTGTACATAAGTCCCAGTCCCAATCCCTTCTGCGGACAACGTGGAAACCCGTGACTACTACTGTGTAGGGAAGCCACAGAACTTCCTCGACGCCAGCTGACACCACCACTGACACCACCACTGACCAACAACCTTCACTTCGAAGCACACTCATTTACCTTCATCCATTTTTATTCGTCCCTTGTCAGATAACACCCTACTTTGTTTTTCTTGATGATCTTTCAAATCTTGTGAGATTAGAATACTCGCCATGCCCGTTTTCTTTGTGGACGGAAAGCAGTACAGAGTCCCCTTCAAGACCCTGTTCAAAGGCAACAAAACCATCTGCGACCAGATAATAGCCGATCAGGTAACCTGACTCATGTTTTTCTGATTGATCAGTGGCCTAACAAATGCACTATAGCGCGCAAGTACTGTTCTACCAGAGGTCACCCTGGAACAAGCCACGGCCACCCGAGCTTCGAACGCAGCATCTACCAATGACCAGACAGGTGAGAATTCGCCATCTCATTGGTTCGAGAAGTACTTTATGTAACGGCTGCTAATGAGATCACAATAGATCAAGGTTATCGTCTATGGACAGCGAGGGAAGACCGACTGCTCCGAGAACTTGTCGCTTTCCGGGTGCCATGGAGCCGCATATCCATCTCATTGGGGAACAGACCTATAGAGGAAGTTAAGAAACGTTGGGACTATCTTCGCAGTGGAAGGGTCCAGAGTCCCGAAGTTGGGGTCGATGGCGTGTTCTCGACCGACGGGATTGCCTTTGGCAACCCGCATTTGAAGAAATTCGCTCGAACCACCCAGCCTGAACCCAAACCAGAGCGTCACGTTTCATTTGCCGACCCACTTGTCACAGCAGGAGATGTAAGTTGAGTGTTTCTCCGGTGTTTTGGCTTCTCTTGTCCCAGACAGAAGGAGACTGACAGGTCTTTTACTGACAGACTGATGACGAAGAAGAGGAAGAAGAAGAAGAAAACGGCGCCTCCCATCCACCGACGACCAAGAAAGTGTATTATGTCGACGAGGAATTCTCACTGGAGGACGTGGTCATGTTGCACAACATCGCGGCTAAATGGGAACGAGACCGATGGCTGGCCATCAGCACCCGATTCAACGACATAACCCAGCGGAAAATCACACCCGAACAAGCCAAATCGGTGGTCAACAATTGAGCATTCTGGAGTCGCACCCTTTTCCCCAAGAAACCCCCGAGAAAGAAATTGTCAGCATTGTGGATATCTTTTGCGCACTCGTTCAGTATCGTAACCCCGGTTCGTGCACCTTGTCACAAAGTTTTGTTCGATTCAATGCGATGAATCGGGTGGCAAAAGAAAGGGAGCGCCGAGTCCGCCGACGAGGGACTTTTCACTTTTTGTTCACCCACAGTTAGCATCCAGGGTTCGGACGAGCGCGTACTTGTTGCCGGAGTTTGTGACATCACAACTTGCAATACCCTGAGTATCCATACGCTGTACTTTGGTCAATATGAGCAGAGGAGAAATCATCCCCTTTGCCATCAGACCTGGAAGTGCTCCTGCATAAAGGGGGATATGAGTTTTCTAAAAAAGATTTAATTTTTTAGTAGTGTTAGTCTATTAATAAAATGAGAGCAGCCACAAGGATTATTATCATGGATCTATTAGATAGCAAATAGGATAGTAGCATTAGCCACATTAAGACCCTAATACTCCATAGTTATTGTATGCCAGAGTCCAGACCGGGGGATGAGGATGGGCGCTGCAAGTCTCATATGGGGCTACACATCTGGACCCTGCAGCATCCCGTACGGTGGGATTCGGCTCCAAGAATAGCCGATCGCCGGGTGCATTTTCCCTATTTGGGAGGATCCAGGAACCGGGTGAGGGCTCCGAACGGAAGTTCTGGACTGCTGTAAGGCGGCGGATCTCAGGAGGCGACTTCATCATCTCGGCTTGTCTGTTCCACAATTGCTCTCCTCGGGTCAATCTTTTTGATTTATTAAAAAGTTCTGGAACTCTCACTTTTGTCGTTCCCTTTTTCGTCCATTTTATTTATACCTGTGTGTGGCGCCTCTTTAGTTACTCTTCTTCCTTACATACCAGTCCGCTCACTCATTTTTCCTCCCCTCCGCCCTCTACCTCGTTATCTTATCAAAACATAATGCGTGTTTCTGGTCTCCTTCCCGTCTTGCTGGCGGCTTTGCCGGCTGCCGCTACTAGCAATGATGGCCGTGGTATGCTGGGTCTGGCGCTGGGTAACCAGAATGCCGATGGAAGCTGCAAGGTGACCTCCGACTACAAGGCCGATTTTGATGCTATCAAGAGTGTGACGACGCTTGTCCGCACATACTCCGCTAGCAACTGTGACACCGCCAAGAACATCATTCCTGCTGCGAAGGAGAAGGGATTCAAGGTTGTGTTGGGTGTCTGGTATGCCTTTCGTCCGATTATCTATTTGCAGTGCGGTTAGACTAATGCGTTCTCTCGTGATTCAGGCCCGACTATGACCAGTCGTTCAACGAAGACTTCGACGCCCTCAAGTCGAGTGTGCACGGAAACGAGGATACCGTTCGTGCGATCACCGTTGGCTCCGAGGTTCTCTACCGGGGTGGTTTGACTGCCGAACAACTCTTGAAACGCATCCAGCAGGTCCAGAAGGAGTTCCCCGACCTGAGCGTTGGATTCGTCGAAAGCTGGAACAAGCTCAATGACGGCACTGCTGACCCCATTCTCCAGGGTGGCGTGAACTATGTGTAAGGCGACGGATGAGAATGCGGAATTGACTGGACCTATCAGCTAACGTTTCGATGTTTGACAGTCTTGCCAACGGTTTTGCATACTGGCAGAACACGGCCATTGACAGCGCTCCCAAGACCTATTTCTCGGATATGTCGCAGGCCATGGAGCACGTTCAGCAGGCTGCTGGTGACAACGCGAAGAACATCCGCTTTGGTAATGGCGAAACTGGCTGGCCTACTGGTAAGGATACTCCATATCAATGGACTTTTAAAGCAATGAATTGGGTTAACTGACTGGCACCAGATGGCGGTTCGGACTACGGTGCTGCCAAGGCCGGCACTAAGAACGCCGAGCAGTACTGGAAGCAGGGTGTCTGCGGCATGCTCGCCTGGGGTGTGGATGTCTTCTACTTTGAGGCTTTCGACGAGTCGTGGAAGCCCTTGAGCAAGGGTGACAACGGCCAGATGATGGACGAGACTCACTGGGGTCTGTTCACTGCGGACCGCAAGCTCAAGTTTGACATCTCGTGCCCGAAGAACTAAACCCCGCATCGGCGTTTGATGGCTACTGAAAAAAAAAAAGTTGTCTGACAATGTTCGCTTCTTTGTATCATATGGGATTGGATAGAAATCAAAAGTAATTTCGTCCATCTGGATAATTATCACCGAGTTGTAGGCTTAGATAAGCGAATGGCGTATGGTACGGTAATAACCAACGCACCCATGGTTCAGCTTATATTTACCCCTGAACAGCGACACGGACCGGGCAGCAGCGCGCGCTCCCAAGGATAGTAGTATTGTTTACTCGCGGACTGTATATTATCTGGGGTCGAGTCCAATTGTCGTTAATTGATTATATGCAGGCATTGGATAGAGGTACTATCTTAATTCGTAGTTATATACTTGTAGAATATGGAGATGGCGGTCTGTACAAGTATCGTACTTGTATACAGTAAATTACCTTTTACCCCCTAAGTTATTGACCTCGGACTCAACTCTCTTCACGTTGTCCTTAGACTTCGGAGAATCTCAATCTCAACTCAACTCTTTCTCTTTTCCTTCCTTTCTCTCTATCCCACTAACGGCGCGCCATGGTCCACGTTTCCCCATGCCCTAGGCGTCTGTGATCATCCTCATCTCGACTAGCATCTCGCTTCGTTTCTTCTCCGAATCTCATCTCTCTTATCACCGCCTCGGCCATCTTTTTAACTTCCTCTCTCTCTACCTCCTATAAGCCTCCTCTCCCTCTTTACATCCCCGGTTTGCCGATCATAGGCTGGACTGCAAGGTGGTCTTCCTTCGAAACGGTTCTCCTTTCCATGCTTCATCATTCTGGACGATAAGCGGAGCGGCAAGCAAGTGCTTGCTGCAGGAGTCGACACGGACGACGGTATGTTTGAGTGTGTGCATGCGATGATTTGAACGTGCAATTGTTATAAACCCAATTCTTGTTTCACGGTGGCTTTTTATTTTTATTTTTTTTACTATTTTATTTTTTGTGGTGACACTTGACATTCTTGTGCTCTCCCCGCTTGATCTGTTCTATCCGTTGTCTGCTTTCACTGCCATTGCATTGACTACGCCGATTTCCAAATGAAAGCAAAAAACCACCAGATGCTTCAGTCACTAAACGAACCATGTTCTGCGCCTTCAGATCTATACCCGTCCGTTCCTTCTGTTACCTCGGCGTCTTCACCGTCGCCGCATCCACCCGTCGCGCATACTTCCTTTCCCCGTGACGAGTCATATCTGTCGGCCCCATTCACTTCGCTCTCCACATCGCCAGGTGTGTCGAATCTCTCGACTGGCGGGTCGCCTGGTCCCCTGGAACGTCTCCGGAGACACACTATAACCCCGAATCCGCCTACTTTCCCAAATCTCGCAAGATACCGCAGCACCGGGGAGTCGTTAAATTCGTCCCCGGAAAACCGAAGACCGGAAAGCAGTGTCTACTATACCACCGCCTGGGGTTCTCCGTATGCTGTACCTAGCCCTCGCACGCTATCATTGACTTTGAGTCAGAGTCAGAACGCTGGTGTCGATCGTGAATCGGGAGCTAGTTCCCCGGCCTCGATGCCCAGTGGTACATTTCAGGGGATTGAACCGAGCAGCGATAATAATAATAATAATAATAACAATAACGACAACAACGGATTTCTGAGACCGTCCGGTGGGGAGAGCTCTGCCAGGAATCTATACAGTGGCATCCTGGACCGTTCTCCGGGACGAGATCTGTTTGGCAGAAAAGGAGGAAAGTCGATAAAGGACTTCACTCAGGATTGGATCAACCAGTACCTTTCTGGTCAGCCCAGAACAGAGCGGAGCAATTGGCTTAGCGACGACTCAGGCAGCGAGGCTCCATCGTTCTTTACAGCACAGAACCATTTTGCAGACGACGATTGGTTGGGTCTGGAAGAAGACAGTCGCGGCGAGGAACTTTTAAGGACGCCAACACTGGCCGATTTTGCGAACCGGAAGAAAGGCACCGGCCAAAGCGAGAGCAGTACTAATAGTACTACTAGTACGGCCCGTCAAAAATTCAGGGATTATATCCACAAGCGGACGGAGACGCTCAAGCAGGAGGACTTTTGGGGGTTTGCATACGATAAAGATCCGCAGCCGATCGCCATGGACAACACAGAAGGTCTGCCTCCAACCGACTCGGAGGCAAGCAAAGTAGTCTCGCCCGTCGAGAAGCCACTGCCACCACCGCCTGCAGAGGAACCGATTGAGAAGACACCACAATCAGCGCCTAATAATGCTGAAAACGCTCAGAGATATGAAAGCACCCCCCGACCAAATGCCCCGAAACCACCAGTCTTAAGTAGATCTGGCACCTCGACGTTCCAACGAACCAAAAAGAAGATTCCCTGGCGGGGGAAAGCGTGTATTATTGCGCTTCCGCTGGAAGACAAGAGAGGTTCTGAAGAATCCGGGCATCGTCTGATGCGCCCCGAGGATGTTGAACAGCGACTGAGGAAGTGGGAAGAAGAAGGATACGACAACAGTGGATTCACCATCTCTAATTTGAATGATCAGTATGATGCTGCGGCCATGGAGCTCGGAGGCTCAAGTCGACCTGTCTTCCCCGACCCTACAGACGTACAGGGAGAGTGGACAACTGGGGAGTATGGAGTCCGGTTCCCAGATAAGGCCGTATGGGATTCCTATGTCAATTTCCTCCAAGAGGAGAAGTTGCGAGCTCTTGGTGTGTCGCTGGGCGATGAGGAAGAAGCGCAACCGTCCGTTTCGCCGGCGTCTGCTGCTATGAGCCAGATGGCTCCTTTCCCTGGTCTAATCGCGTCACCACCCATCCCGACAGCATCGGCGGCCGGCAACCCGCTTGCTGTACCGCACCCCTTCTCTCCGCAATTGAATCAGTCGGCGAATACGCCTAATGGCATCGGCGCTCTAGCATCTCCTGCCTCGCAATTCAGCGTGCAAGCACCCTTTTTGGGCGTCGACCAAAATCTGCTTGCCGGATATCCTCTGCCGTTCCAGCCCACGCCTCCTGCCCAGGGCTCTTTTACCCCTCAAAGTTTCTTGAACGCCCGCCAGGCAGGAGCTATTCCTGGCACCTTGCCTAACTTGTCGTCTATGCTCTCGCCTGTTTCGCCTTTGAATGACCAGGGTCCCTTCCACCCAGGGCTGGATGGCAAGGAATCCTTCGACAACCAAGGACAACCATTGCCTCGGGTCCAGACCCCTACTGAGCAACCGGATCATTTCCATGCATCTAATGTGGAGATTGCTCATCCTACACCTCGCGGCCACAGCCGTGGTCAGAACCTCAGCGAGACACTTCAGAAGGGCTTGGATCATATCAACCATTCCGACTACCACCTGGAGAGGTCGATCGAACGGCAGCTGGAGGAGGACGACCGGGATGCAGGTCGTGATGGTTTCAAGAATTCTGGACTGCTGCACTCTAAATGGGCTATGCCGGATGCTGATCCTAATCAATACCACGGGTATAACCATCATGACGGCTCTGATATCGATACTAACCCAAGTCTTTCCGGTGCACCCCACGGTCACGGCCCTCTCGCGAACGATATTGCCTGGCACGAGTCGAAACCAAGCATGGAATCGCATCGCTCGAAACTGTCATCGTCGACATTCAACGTGGAAGCCAAAGAATTCGATCCCATGGGTGCGTTTGCGTCCCAGAACTTCGGGTTCCAAGACAATGCTTTCCAGTTCCAAGGGGTAGATCCCTCTTTGTTCACCTTTGGCGCTGGCCAGGGTTTCCAGGGTGCCGTGCCTCCTACAGCCTCCTACAATGTTACAGCCCCCGCATTCAACCCCCCTGGAGTCAACGACCAAAGGAGTGCTGGCCCCGACGAATTCAAGTTCTCCTCCGCTTCATTCAACGTCGATGCTCCTGCGTTCAATCCCGGCGGCGCTGCAAGCTCTGAACAACCATCTGGGGAGAAAACCAAGATCTTTGGGGATATCTCAGATGTCTCGACACCCGCCAAGAAGTCAAAAGCAATTCCCATTGTGCGGCCAGATGAGAGCGAACACAAGGAAAAGAACAAGGGGGTTGAGGGAGAAAACGCGAATGCCCAACCAGCTCCTGCGGATCGCAACAAGCGTGCGCGCCGTGGTGACCAGCCTTCTGATGGGGAAGAGCAACTCAGCGTGCCAACTCGTGCTTTGACGGAGATGAACAATGTCAAGGCTTCCCAGGACTTAACTGCACCCCACAAGCAGGCAGATGGCAAAGAAAATGTAGCGCCTGGCAAGGAGAGCCTGGCTGCTGCTGAGCGGAAGGACACACCGGTCAGTGAGGCTTCGACATGGGCGCCTCCGGAGGGCAGAGAACAGGTTGAGACATCAGAATCACCAGTGCGGCACCAAGCGCCAGAGCAAGGTCCCGAAAAGGCCGCTGAGCAGCCACCGATAGAGAAGGCACCCACTCCTGCTCCTAAAGAACAGGACAAGGGCGCTGAGCAAGCTTCTACCGTCACACTGAAGAATAAGTTCCTTTCAGCAGCTGCGAAATCCTTCGAATTCAAGCCTGCTGTGCCTGAGTTCGTTCCTCCTTCAAATGAAAAGCCTCCTAGCGTCCCTGAGAAGCCTGTCAATGGATTGATGTCTTCCCGTTACGCCGTTGAAGACCCGCCAGCTTCGCCCAAGGAGAAGCCGTTGCCTCCTGAGCCTCCTCGTCCGGAGCCTGCTGAGAAGGACCAGCCACAAGAAGCCAAGGCTCCTAGACCGGAGTACACCTCAAGCGAGGAGTCGCCTGACGAGGATGAGCTTAATGCTATTATGGAGCAGCTGAACGATGACTCTGATGTTGGTATCGAGAGAATAAACACTCCTCAACCTAAGAGAAAACTGCCGGAGCCCGTTGCCGGGCCATCGAAGGAGAAGCGACATGTGCCAGCCGAGATCAGGAGCGAAGCTCCAAGCCCCAGTCCCGGACGGGGTACGCTGGATATTCCCAAGCTCGACTTCGAGTCTCGGTCTCAGCTCTCCGTTACTCCTTCCAAGAGCATGATTGGTACTATCACTTCGCCTGTCCGGCAATTGCTACACGACAATGATCATATCAGCGACTGGGACGATGTTATTTCCTCGGGTGAAGATGACAAGCTGCTGAACCGGAGCAGATTCTTCGATCGTCGCATCAATGATCTCGTTGGTTCCACTGTTGAGGAGCGTTTGTCTCCGCTTGAGCGGGCCTTGGGCGTTATTCAGCAGTCTGTGACATCTATTGCCTCGGGAGCTCAGAACAAGTGGACGCTGCAAAGCACCTCTGCTACTGGCGAAGACAGTGATGCTGATGACGAGGATGACGAGTACGAGGACAATTCGTCGGTTAGACCTAGGTCTCCTATGCAGCAACAGAAAGACCGAAGACTCGACAAACTGAAGAATGTCATCCAGGAAGCATTGGCGGCTCGTGCTCCCCAGGAGGTGGAATCTCCCGCTACTGCCGAACTCTTGCAACTTAAGCAGAGCTTTGCCGAGTTGCGAGAGATCACCTCCGAGAAACTGTCTCAAGACCCGGCTGCGAACATGAAGAGCATGATCCAGGAGGTTGTCTCTTCGCAACTCCAAATGCAGAACTCGCGTCCTTCTGATGCCGAGGAGATTGGAGCCGACAGCCTTATGCTTCAGATCGATGGTCTCAAGAACATGCTGCGTCTTGCGGATGAACGGGCTGAGCAGGAGTACAAGATGCGCCGTGAGGGTCAAGACTCTATGGCTGAGCTTCAGAGGCTCTTGAAGGTCGCTGAGGAGGATGCTGCCCGACACAGTGAAGCTGCCGAATCTGCTGAGACTCGCTTCCTCCAGTTCAAGGAAGAGAAGATCCCTTACTTCGAGCACATCCAATCGCGATCTGATTCCCTGTCCCAGGAGCGTGAGTCACTCAGGCTTACGCTTGCCGAGATCTCGTCCAAGAACATCACCCTTCAAGGCACTATTGACGAGCACCGTGTTTCGAGCGAGCACTACAAGCGGGAGAACGAGAGGCAGCAGGCTGAACTGGAACGAACAAACGAGGAGAACAAGAAGCTTCATGAGACTATCGAGCACTTGCAGATTCGCCTTGGTGACGGCATAAGTATTCGCCAGAACCTCAGCGACAAGTTCGACTATCTGCAGGGGGAAATGGTCAACGTTACCCGTGACATTACTCGCGACCAGGCGAACTGGCGACGCAAGGAGGAAGCCTACGTTGCTGGAAACAATGAGTTGCGGGCTGCGTATAGTCGGGAGCTTAAGCTACGCGAGAAGCTCGAGATTGATATCAGCGAGCTTGAGCAGCAGGAGCGCGAAGCGACTAAGCTGAAGTTCATCTTCGGACAGTCGCAGCAGGAGAACGCACGTCTGGAGGAACTGGTTGGTAACCTGAGACTGGAGAACCATAGTCTGGAATCCAAGGCGGTTCACTTTGAGCGCGAATTCAACGAAGCCCGCGAGAGCAGCCGTGTGGAGATTCAACGCACTAGGACTTCTTTGCAAACGGATCTGGAGGCCGCCAACAGCCAAGTCAACATTGTCCGTGCCGAATTGGAAGCGCAGATCATCCGTCTTCAGAGCCAGCAGGACAACATCAGAATGGACGCTGACACCGCACGCGAAAGCTACGAAATGCTGCTGGAGGCAGCCAACGAAGCCAAGGCGGAAGCATTGGCATCCAAGGAGCTGGCTGTCGATGATCAGCGCAAGGCGCATGAGCGTGTTCTCAACGACCTTCGTGAGCGCCACGTCCGTGCTATGCATAACAACTCGGAGGACAAGGTGAGACAGGAGTCTTACATGTCCGAGCGGTTGGCCCTGTCGGAGGACAAGGCGCGACACTTTCAGGACCGCGTCAACCACCTTGAGGAGAAGCTTGAGATTGCCAAGTCTGCTGCTCGTGCGGCTGCTGAAGCAGCGCAGACTGCCAAGGTCAGCCCTGGTGCATTGAACTCGCAGTCTTTGCCTCCTGCTAGGGGATCTGATGTTCCTGAGAAGATCTCTCCTCAGGCTCTGCGTGAGTCGATTCTTGTTCTGCAGGACCAATTGCAGCAGCGGGAGTCGCGCATCGACGAGCTTGAGCAAGAAGTTGGCTCCGTTGATAAGGAAACGCCTAACAAGCTCAAGGAGAGGGACACGGAGATTACCTGGCTTCGTGAGCTGCTTGGTGTCCGACTCGACGACCTCCAGGACATCATCAACACCGTGTCGAGGCCCTCTTTCAACCAGCACGCCGTGCGCGACGCTGCTATTCGCCTGAGAGCCAACTTGCAAATGCAGCTGCAGGAGCGAGAGCGCGCTATGACGGGCCAGGGCTTCCCATCTCTCCCATCCATTACCGAATTGGCTGCATCGCCGCGCAATCTCCCCTTGGCCGCAGCAGCCGCCTGGGGTAGCTGGCGCCGTACAAGAGAAAACTCGACCACCGACCAAACACCGTCCAAGCCAAGCAATGCCAGTAACTTCCTCTCGGGACTTCTGACACCCCCGGGATCCAACACTCGCCAGTCTCCCAGAGCAAACGCACCCCTCCAATCCGGGTCGCGACGCACATCAGAAAGTCGTCCGATGAGATCGTTCAACCCGACGCCACGACCGCTCTCTGGGCGCCAGGGTGGCTTGCAAGAACCGCCCAAGACTCCGCCGCTCCTTCGACGGTCGAGTTATGATCAGGATGCCGAATCGACCACTTACGAGCACGACGAACCGTTCCCAGAGGACGGAGAAGCGGAGAGCATAGCGGATGAGATGGTTTCTGCATCGCCGAAAAATACGACCACGATGGCCACGGAGATTCCGGAGATTCCGGAGACTATGGAAACGGAAGATGGGCTTGAGCCTATGCCTGAGCTTGGGTCTGAACCGTTCGGGCCGGAGATAATCTCCGACTAATTTCCCTTTTCTACTTTTCCTTTTGAATTTGTTTGAACATTTGGACATTTGTCATGGTAGAGTGATTTACGATCTTTCCTTCTTTCTGTACACATATATATCGTCTTTTTTCTCTCATCTGACTTCCCTGATACCACCCTGTTGATTTTGTGGACCAATTGTTTACATTTACATACGAGTTTAACTGTACAATCACCAACCCCTAGCCCTGACCCCTGTTGTTAATCTAATCCACATTCTTTTCTGTTTGTCTTACTAGTTATGACAGGGCAGCAGACATACACATACACATATGCATGTTGAAGCTATCAAGACTTGTCTGTCGGGTAGTGAGATACCTGATACGATACCCTAATTGGACATAATCACTCTACTTTCCTCTGATGTGGGAACGTAGTGATAAACGATCATTATTAGCTATTATCATAAAGTAGTCTAACGCCATCAATGCAAGTCCAAAGTCTAAATGCAAGTCTATGAGAATAATAAATCAACCCAAACACCATTCCATCACCCGCTGTCCATTTAGTGCAGTTGCAGTCACGGTGTAGCCATTCGTCCCGTATCCAGTCTCGGACTTAGCAACCTTCAAACCCTCAACATCAACGTCAACAATATCTAATAAATATGACCACGGCTGTACCGTCTTCTCTCCACTGCCACCTGTCCCAGTGGTAGAAGCATCAAGACTGAAAACATACAACCCCCCACCAGCCATATACCGAAACGAGTGCCCCGCCCCCTGCTCATAAACAACAAGTAACTGTCCATCATCCGAAACAGATATCAACGGGTTCCTCACAGTAACAGCGGGGAGATGAATTGTGTCCCAGCGGTTTGTAGACGCGGTGTTAAGATTCTGAGTAACGACGGCTTTATCGTTAAGCGTTTGGTCTATTAAAGAAATATTGGTGGGGTCAGAGGTGTTTGTTGCTTTAGAGGTTGTGGAGTGACTTGATGGGGTGAGATAGTTGGTTTTCGAGGGGAGGTGGTGAGATATTATTATCTGTTGCTCTTCGTCGTCTGGTAAGGGTGATGATGATGGTGTGACGGTTGCTATGCAGTAGCCTTGGACGTCTTGTGTTTTAAGCGCTGCGATGAAAGAGCGTGATGTCGTTGATGGTGATAGTTGAAGAAGATGGATACCGTTGAGCGCGGTTTTGTAGTCGTTGTTTGGTAAGATCGTTGCCAACGCTACCGAGTCGAGGTACACCCGGTTGATATTCTGGCTCCAGTATTCGAGAGTTGACTGCTGCTGAGTGTGGCTGGAACGAGACGGATCACCCAGATACCGCACCCGACAGGTTCGATTCGGATTCGATTCCTTCCCAATCCCCACGCGGAGAAGCATATCCTCATCACCGTCCACAAACTCCAATGCCTCCACCACACCATCTGTCTCCCGGTAATTCGGCCCAGGCGCAGGCGATGATGAACTAAAAACCGTCTCCGTCTGACCCAGTACATACTCAACAGGAGAGCCAAGGTTATCCGGATCCTTGTAGTCGTATATCTGAATCGTTTTTCCTAGTCCCACTGCGACTAGACTGGACCGCGAAGACACGGCAAGCTGATGTCGCGCGTAACCCTGGTTTGCGCCGTACCCGGCGCCACCTTCGAGTAATGCGCGGCAGACGCTTGTCCACAGGGGGTAGAGAGATTGGGAGAGGGTGAGATTGAATTTTCCCTCGTTATTATGGTCGTAGATGGTTATTTGGGAGCCTTTCAGTACTGCTGTCTTTCTGCCATCATGCGATGTCGCTAGTGGTGTAGACGCCGTGCTTTCCTGTGGTAAATCCGCCGCGGATATCGTCTTGTGACAATGTAACCGATGATCGAGGAAGTTCAGTCGCGAGACCTGGTTGAAGAGGGTATTCCAGTTGGTTTCGGGTAGGGAGTTTAATGCCGGTAGGAGCGTTGGTGTTTGCTCGAGCGCTTTTCGGAGCATGTAAGGTGTCGACGCGGCATTGTACCAGTGACGAGAGGTGAATCGCGCTGAGTGGTATGTTTCTGTGTCTGTGAAGTGGAGGATGGATTGGATGAGTTCTGTTGGAAGGGGTAATGCCATTCTCCTACACGGTCACAATTTCAACACCGTCCAAGGATCCTTGTGGGAATTCTGGTAAAAAAGAGTAACTATGTAGATGGCTTCCTTATACTTCGGGTATCGAATGACATCAATGTGCAGTAAGGTTCAACATACCACTGCTATCGCAAACCAAAAGCAGAACCAAAAAAAAAAAAAAAAAAAAAAAAAAAAAAAACAAGAATGGAATCAATTTATCAGGGAAGCCCTGTATATAAAACCATAAAAGGTCCTCAAAAAATTTTATTTTTATTTTTATTTTTTTAAATTTTATTTTTTTTTTCTCCCTCCCTAACAATAATCACCGGCAAACGGCACCGAAACGGCGCCACGGAAAGCCGGTGGAGCACGTCATTAGTCTCCGGCCGGTCGGGATGTTTAATTCCTTTATTCTTAATTCCTACACTATCCCGTCTCGGAACTTGCGTCCTGATCGGGCAGGGCAGTTCGGCTCTCCGATGCCGATATCCTTACTAGTTTATATGCGAGATGCTGTACGGAGTACTGTGCATGGGATCAGGAGTAAGGGATGATGCTGTGATACGATACTCTACAATATTATCAGTGCAGAGTACTATACATATAGACTCGCCCGAAAAAATCCAATCCGTACGATTCATGGTTCTTTCCATGGATTGAACCGGACCCATGCCGTTAACCAACGATGATCCATCAGTTGCGTTGCGTGATTTCGTTGGTGGGATTTTTTTTGGCATGGCATTGTGTCCGAATCGTGAACCAGCTGTGTTCGCTAAGTGCTTCTAGAATAAGAGGTGCGCGATAATTTATGGTGTGGTGGTAAAAGTGGGCGATCCTCGGCCGTAGATCGGAGATCAGGGATCCCGATCAAGGTTAATTGAGGGCCCGGAAGACGGTTCGTTGAGCAATAATTTGATGAATTTTGATGAATGCAGTGGTATTAAATACCCTTCCAATGTAGCCGGTAGCCTCCTAAACGGCCAACTTATAAAGACCATCAAAGTACGTACTCCGTATGCACAAGCAATCAAACTCAAGCCCAGTATGCCAAGCAGGATATTCTAATCAAACTCATCATCGTAACATAAGTCTTTCCAAGCGGGCGTGCCCTATCCAGGCTGCTTGTCGACCCTGAGCGAAGCATGTAAAACGCCCATCCGCCAGTTGAGAGTCCAGGGCATTGAAGCAAAAGCCAGCAGCTAAGGGCGGTAAAGATAAAGGAGGTCTCTGTCCATCGAATGCTAATACTATAACCGGCATCATATAATGATATTCTTCTCCCGACTGTAAAGGTCTTTCAGAAGCTTCAACTGGTTGACACTCATGCTCTTACGAGGAAGAGTGTTGGGTATATCGACAATCGCCCTCCTCATCAGCACAAGACCCACATGTCCGAAAAAGCCCACGATTCTCTCCGCAGAGGAACGCAGCATAGCTGCCAGGAGAGAAAGATGTGTTTCTTGTAGGTGCTCCACAGGAATCGACAGAATCTTATGCATTGAGTACCAGAACATCTGGTTAGAAAATGGGTTCTTGCGCGGCGTTTTGCCGAAATTTCGGAGAGTAAGGGCGGCATAGCCGGCTCCTAACGCCGTCATTCGATCGGTATGACCTTGTTCAGAGACAAACGTCCCATCTCCCTCTTTCTTCCACCCTACTGCTCGTCGTCCGGATTCTGTCCTCTCATCTCCGTAAAATCCCCATAAAGCTGGACATGCCACACGATATTTCGCCCATAAGATGTCAACCAAGTGACATCCATTGTAGATGAACACATCCTGGGAGAAGATCTGGGCCGCCACGATGCCGATCGGTTCGGCATGACCCTGGTTGATGGATGCTTCGGTGATAAGTGACGAAATCAAAGCCTTGGAAAAAATGTTCAGGCCGTAGACCAAAAGAGCTGGTACGGTAATACCATCGGAATTGGCAATGTTTTCTGGCGGAAAAGCAAGGAATTGGCGAATGTCCAAAGACGGCCCTGGGATAGCAGCGGCTTTTTCCAGGGTGCCCTTGATTTCTTGGAGCTATAAACACATCAGTCACCACTCATTTCAAAGAAATTGACCAACTTTACCTGAGTCTTGTTGGCACCCTTGCCCTCACGCAGTTGACCAACCGACTTCTTGATAGACCGGCGCATGTCTCCCATGCACTGTTTCACCGCCGGGCTGGCCTTTGCCTGCTCTTTCAGGTATTGACGGAATGACTTTAGATGCTGGTGTAACTCCACGTAGCGAAGCTGTGCTTTATTTTCCTCTGCAGTTTGACGACCACCACCCATCTGTTTCTGTTTCTCCGCTTGCTTCTGTCGTTGAGCATTCTCCTGGCGTTGTGCGGCATCTTGCTCTGCCTTCTTGGCTTCAGCCTCGTGCTTGCGCTTTTCCTCCTCCTGTTGTTCCCGTTGTTTTTGTTCCTGTTCCTCCTGCGCGGTCTTGCGTGCCCTCTCTGCCTCTTCCGCAGCCTTCTTCTTCGCCTCCTCTTGTGCTTTCCGCTCCGCCTCTTTTCGCGCGGCCTCCTCTTGCTCGCGCCGTAATCTTTCCGCCTTTTCCCTTTCTAGCCGTTCTTTCTCCCGATATGCCTCCTCTTCTTTGCGGCGACGTTCCTCCTGCTCGGCCCGTAAGTGATCCCTGAGCGTTTCCTCGGCCTCCTCCCGTCTCTGGCCCTGGAGCGTGGCGACACGATCGATGGCGGCATTGTGTTGTATTTCGCGTTCGTGGTCTATGCGGTCTAGGGTCTCGTAGAAGGATCTCCGCTCGTATGCCTTGACCTTTTTTAACTCGGAGTTGTGGAGCCGGAGCTCCTCCAGGTCTTTGACAAGATCCAGCATAAGCTGTTTTGATGGGCTGTCCAACTGCGGAGGGTAGTTGACTTGTCTACCCATTTTGGATTATTTCTGTTTTCTCGAGCGTAGATAAGGGGAACGGTCGATTCGGTAAGACGGGGGTATGGGAAACGGTGGCAGGAGGCAAGGACTTGAAATCGTATGGTGCTCGCAGAGTTTTCGCTTATCAGTCAAGCTCGGCTAGATGGTAACCATGACGCCTAGGCGATATTGAATCGGATCACGAATTTGGAAGACAAGGCGGGGCCGTTGGTGACTCCGCGAGTGACGCGACAGGACAATTCGGGCAGGAGATTGGCGATGGATCGATATCGGATGGAATTAGGCTAAATATAAAATATTGCGTGGACAGTCCTATTTCACATCTTATCAAAGTCAGCTACTGGCTTTGTTTCTTTTCATCGGAATGCAGGCGTACGAATTTGGAGGGAAAGGCGCGAAAAGTCTTTTAGAGTCGGGGCCATGGAGATCGAGGAACCCTACACAAACCTTTCAAGACCATCACATGGGTCAGTGAGTCAGAAAGAGAGGAAGGAGTACCAGAGGTACACCCAATGGACAAAGATAAAGAGAGAAGCTGTCAGTATAAACAGAAACTGACTGGAAGTTGGAGTCGGTCGTTGGAGACTCGTACTAAGCTGTACTATGATGGAGGCGGTCACGGGCCGGGTGTGTTCTGTCATGGTACGTACTGGTACATCTGGTAACATACCATACTGTAACGCATGTTCTGTAACAGACAGTACCATACCTCATACCTCAGTACGCCCGTGCCGACTAGTGCACCGGGCAGTTCCTCGGTACGGAGGTGAGAAGCTTGGATGGTTTTGGACATTTTGCATCATGATGAACATCACTCGGAGATCATTCTGAGTAAAAGTACGGTGTAGATAATGGAGTACAGAGTATGTACATACAAAAAGAGTATCTGTATGGTGGACAAGGGTCACGTGGAGCATGGCAAATTGGGCGGTCGCATCACCCGTTCAGGGGTTCTCCAGGTTGACAACGGCGGAGTCCCTGTAGCAAGACATCAAGTATGAGATGGTTGGAAATAGAAAGCATTTTGCATTTTATATAGCTATAGCTGCTTGAAAAGGAATTACAGGTGTCTGGGATGAACAACGCAGTGACAGATTAATTAGAAACTTACTATTACCAGTTACTACTACCATGGGGTAGTCCAAGAAAACCCAACGAGGCTAGCTGATATGACGATGATGGTGATGATGCTCTTCCGCTGTCTCTCCCCCACACCCACCAACCTCTCTTCTCGTCCTCTTCTTTCTTTTCTTTCCATCTCTTCTCATTATTGAAAAAGAAGGATTTCTCTTTCTTCTCCCTCTTTCCTTCGACTTCTCATCTCCCTCTTTTCTCCCTCCCCCCCCCCCTCTCTCTCTCTCTTTTTATCATTACCTCCCCCGCTCCTTAGGTCAAACCCATCCAGCGTCATTGACTCGTTGTGCACGGATTGGTTTCAACTGTCATTCTCTTTCTGTTTCCCAAAAGGAGCTGAAGAACGTCTAGTCTCGGGGGAAAACGAACTGTTCATCCTTTCGTCTTTTCTACCCCCGCCACTGTCCAAAAGAGGCCAACTCATTAAGCATAGCCTTTTTTTGCCTCATCCCGTATACCGTGGGTCTACTACGATCTCTACTTATCGTTCGGTCCTCACCCAACCCATTATTTGCTCTTGAGGATCAACCTCTCCGGGAAACCGTTGAAGAGAAGAAAAGAAGAAAAGAAAGACCTCATTCCTTTTTTAAAAAAAAAAATTATAGTGTGGTCGCGATAGTGCTCTATTGCCGGTCATCCACTGTCTTTTCCCCTCCTCCACCGCCAAATAAAAGCCCCCTCCAATTATTGAACAGCTTCACGTCTGTTTCTCTCTCTCTCTCTCTCTCTTTTCTCTTCGCCCTGGAGGGTTTTGAAAAGATACTTCCTCTGTCCGGCTGCTATTTCCAGCCCTCTTTTGGTGTTTCTCATTTTCTGCGTTCGTTGATTTTGTACGCTTTTTGTTGATTTCCCTGCGAGTCGTTACCACTTCCTGCATATAAAAAGAAAAGACTAAAAAAAAAAAAAAGAAAGGAAAAGGGGCAATCGTTACTTTAACCCCCCCCCCCGTTCTGTACAGCACAACCAAAAAGGATTCTTACCAAAAAACCTCCTACAGCAAACACCAATCTGTGTGTTATTTTCCGGTACGTTAGTCTATCTATCTTTCTTTGCTCCTTCCTGCTTTCTGTACTTGTCCGCTCTGCGTGGTGATGTCTTCCGCTCGGACACTCGCAGCTTCCCGGGTCTA